CATACTGTAGCATATTGAAGCATACTATAAACAACATACTGGGATATACTGTAATATACTATAGTAAACGAATAATGAGACGGATTATGCCATAACATACTTTAACAAACTATAATATACTATAATATGCTATAGTATAATACGATAACCTACTATAATATACGATAATATACCACGATATACTGCAATGTACTGTATTGCACTAGGACATACTACGATGTACTATGATATACTGTTCATAACATTGTTCATAACAAAGGGCTTTGGATGAAGGTTCCAAACCTGCTCTCAGATCGAGCCCAGGTCTTTGGAGTCTGCGATGTAGGCATGCAGGGGCTCACGCTGTGGTTGTTCTGGCGTCTAGCTGGTGTTGCAACCATGCGTAGGGGGCTCTGCTCGGAGTTCAGGGTGATTTGCCGTCATTCAACACACCGATACTCACGTGTTGTGCAACATGCGAAAGACAAGTGGGACAAAGAGGGGCAGTAACTCCAGGAGAGCTGAACTTAGCCGCTCTCCTCGTTCCTTTTGCAGGACTTGGTTTTTGCCACACGAGAATCCGCATGCTGAGGAGTGCCGATTGACACCTGACTTGGTCAAGACCTCGAACATCGACTCGTTCCAGATCATCCAGCCCTCAAGTTGCCGTACATTGAGGATCCCTTGCTTTCCGAGGTTGAAACCCTACAACCTGAAGTCTAAACCCTAAACCCTAAATCCTACAGGATCCCATCTTTTCTGACACTAGCAAGTCTGAGGCCACGGCGACTAGGCCACTCTTTGCCCGCTCGAGGAAGGCAGCGAAGGCATCGCTGCGTCCCTCCTGATCGGTCACGACCTGGCATTCTGGGGTTTGGCATTTACGGGTTCAGGGGCTGGTCTAAGGCTTTAGGGGGTTCAGAGCTTAAAGTTTAGCTGCTCACGGTTTAAGGGCCATGGGATCCGGGCTCGTGCAAAGTGAACCGAACGAAACCAGCACCATCAGAAGGACCTCATCAGGACTGGAATCTGAATTGCAGTTTGTCGTTCGTGGCGTACCGTGGCACATCTAGAGACCCTTGGTCAAAGCTCAAGCATCATGTCCTTCATCACCTGCCGTGCTTGGGTCTTGAACAGGGTTGTGCAAGGCCTCGCGTGGATTTGAAGCAGTTATCTCAACAAGCTTGTTTGCTTCTTGAGTTGGGAAACACTGATTCGGCTGCGTGGAAGCAATGATGATAATCATCATAAGTGTCGTAGTAATTAACACAATACTAACAATGCCAGCCAGGCTTCTATGCCAGGCTCCTATGTATGTAGTTCTCTAAATGAGGGTCCCGT